TCAAGGACAGTCCTCTTTGATGTTCCTAAGGGTTAAATCCATAGCAGTCAAATGCTCTTCAACAGATTCATGTGCCTTAAGGGAAACAGATGGTTAGGAGAGGGCTTAGAACACAGCAGATTTATTTTATCAAGTTGTTGCCTGTTTAATGACCTTAAGCTGGTAACCAAAGGTCACATGATAACAGTGTGGTTTGAGGTCTTCAAAGAGATGGTCATTCATTGACTCTTTTCAGCATCCCAACTGCCCCCTTTGGATAGCCATGCAAAAAGTTCTTATTTTTGGAGTGGTGTGTGTGTGTGTGTGTCCGTGTGTCCGTCCATCTATACGTTTGTCTGTGTGTGTCTGCCTGTCTCTCTGTCTGGGTAAATCTGCATGCAGATTTCATAAAAGTTCAGGAATATTTAACTGCTTCCATAGGATTGGGATCACCCTGAAATATTTTGTTTGGGTTCCCCTAAATGAAATCTACAATTGAAGGGAAAACTAAAGTAATTTTACAGGTAGTCAAGGCTGAAGATCACCCTGCTCAACCCAAAGCCCTTGTGTTCCAAAATGAGCCAAAAGGCACAGTGGCCACCCCAGGCTACCACTTCCCAAACTTAACAGATCACAGCTTTAGAACCTTCCATCCTATGCACAGAAACATGGTGGGAGAATGAGATGGCCTCATATTTGGTTTGGGGAGTTTAGAGGCTGTGTTTTAGGGAGCGCTCTCCTTTTTATGTCTTCCACATTGTGGCCAGCTCTTTTGTGTGTTGTCCCCGTTACAAAGAGCTGACACCCCTGTTCTTTCAGCACAGATGGGATTATATGCACTGCCCAGCAGAGCTCAGACAGCCTGTGGAAAGCTGACCTAGTCAAACTCCAGCCTGGAACTGGTCTGCTGTGAACAGTCACTTCAAACAGCCACCACTTCCTACATCTGCTGCCTGATTTTTCTGTGTTACTTTATTTGGTTTGTTTTCAAAAGCCATTTTCTCTGGTTGATTCCCCATAGAAACATTTCCCTGTATTTCTTTGTCATGCACTGGAATCCCAAATGACCCATACCACGGGCGCAGAGTGGGCAGTTGCTCTTTCAATTGCCTCAGGATATACCTGTATGCTGGGGACTTGTGTGGGGTCAGGTCAATTCCATTCAGTCCTGATCCATCCAAGAGGGAAATAATGAAATTCTAGCCAATGGAAATCAGCTAATATATTCTTATCATTCAATATAAAAAGTATATACATGTGCATGTGTGTCTATGAAATGTGTATATAGGTCTACTGAATAACATTTCATACCACTAGGAAATAAATACTGTACTTTTAAAAAAATGTTTAATTTATATAATCCAGGAAATACTGTTCTAGTAGTTCAGGTTTATTTCACAATTTAAAATGAAAACTTATTTTCTAAGTGTGCCAAGCATAATTTTTCTAACTTAATGTCTAACTGGGAAAAAAGAAGGGCAGTCAGATTCTGCTTGAAGGAGCACCTTGGTCCAGTTTTAAGCATTGATGGAAAACCTTTCCAAGAAAGTCCATGTAAAACACTAAATAACACTGAAGAGAAAAAAAATTCTCATGCTTTTAACTGCCTGGTTGGGGCTGCTGTCAAGGTTAAGACTTGTTCAGGGGCAGAAGCAACCTGTATGACAGGTGTGGAGAGCTAAGGGAGCCAGGCCTTGGGACTAAACAGGGAGTGAGATCAGTCTGGAGATGCTCCGCCAGTCAAAGAAACATCATCCCTGTCCGCGAATAGGGAGAGACCTTGAGCCACAGAGTTCTCAAGAGTGCATGCTTGTCTTCATCTCAGATGATGAGGTGGGAAAGATGGGGGAGAAGTCTTGAGAATCTACAGCCATCACTGTGTGCCTACCAAGTGTGAGGGCGAGAACTCAGTGGCTGTGTGATGTTGGACAGGCTCTCCCGTCAGAAACGTAAACAACCACAAAAATCTGCCTGTGTTCCCATTCATTTAAAGTAGCTGGTGTTCAGACGCGCGGAAAGGGAAAGCAGAATGGGGGAGACAGTGTCCTGAAGAGGGCTGAACTGAATGCTCAAATATTTAAAATGATAAATCTTATGGTACATGTATTTTATCATAATAAATAAAAAAGAAATATCTTTAAATTTAATTAAGTTGAAACAAGCTGACAATGGCACCTAACTGCCTGCTGGAAACAATCAACAACATACAAACAACAACAACAAAAACAAAAAGCTCCAGCAAAAGCAAAAAAGAATGGCCAAGAATGGAGGTGCATACCTGGAGCCTAATGCTTGGAAGGCTGAGGTGGGAGGGTCTGGAGTTCTGAAGTCAGCTGAGCTACACAGCAAGACTCTGTCTGGAAAACAAACAAATAAATTAACATGCTTAAAGAAGAAGAAAAGTAATTCCCATGTCATAAAAACTTTCAAGGAGCGTGAGATATGCTCATAGTAAAAGATTTATTTTACTTTATAACACATGGAAACACTTCCTGGGAAGGACCCTTCTACAGTGAGTCAATAGCAAACCACACCAATAAAAAAGACAATAAATTGTGTTTATCAGTTATAAGAGAGATATTGCATGTTTAATTTTTTTATGAGACAGTGTCTTGCTATGTAGCCCTGACTGGCCTGCAACTTGTTATGTAGACCAGGCTGGTCATGAATACATGGAGATTCACCCTGCCTCTGCTAAGACTGAAGGCATACCACCTACCTGGCTTTATGCTTATTATATTTTTTTTACAAGGAGAAACTGAAAATGTGTTGAAAGAAATAAAAGTTCTTAAATTTAACCACATTGATTCAAAAAGTAATGAAGCAGAATTTAATAAGAAAATGTTATGTTAATTCTACACTCAAAGAGAGATGGATTCTGCTGGGAACAGACAAAACTGAAGAATTTACAGCTCACACATAGAAGTGGAGAAACAATGAGAGAGATAGATGTTCAGGGAGAAGAAGGACAGATGTGAAGGTCTTGATGGAATGGGGCAGGAAGTTATGCTATGGACAATAGACAATATTTGGAGAGATAATAGATGAAACTTTTCCAAAGTAATGGAAAATACGTCTTTATATCAGGAATCTCAAGGACTTTTAAGTACACAATAAAAAAGACACAATGAAGAGGGGCGTTGGTGGTGCACAGTTTAAATCCCAGCACTTGGGAGGCAGAGGCCAGTGGATCTCTGAGTTTGAAGACAGCCTGGTCTATAAAGCTGTTCCAGGACAGCCGGGACTACACAGACAAACCAATATTGTCTCAAAAAACCCAAAACCACATCAACCAAACAAACAAACAAAAGACACAATGGGTCAGATTATAGCAAAAACACAGAATAATGAAAACAATGGCCTTAAAAGATTTTGTCAAAGAAACGAAGTTGAAAAGGGAAGATCACTGAAGGGCTTAGGAAAGTAACTTGAAAATAGAGTCTCTATTGAAGATGATTGAGTATTATATTATCCATAACAAAAAAACAGAATAAGGGTATATTATAACACAGATATGTGCTGAAGGAATTAAGAATAATGTCCTTGGGAGTAAGTGTTGGAGAGGGCAGTGAGGGATGGATATACAAGATTGGTTGTAGACATGTATGAAATTTTCAAAGAAGAAAAATATCTATTTAAAAAGAGGTAGAATCACATCATGAATCTTGTCAATCTAATGCTAATTTTAATACAGTTAATCTAAAAGTTTGGGATTAGCATTGGCAACATTGTTACATGTTTGTGTATTAACAGCGGCCAAGCATCTGTCTATGTAGCCAAGCCTCTCCTGTGACATGGAGTAGGTTGAGCCGTGCACTCTGAAAACACATGTCCGTGCTTTAACCCTACGAATCTCTGAAGATGGTCTTAGTGAGAAAAGGGGTTTTGTAGATTATAATTAAGGATCTTTACTCAAGCTCATTCTGTTACAAGTGGGTCCTAAATTCAATAGCAAATGTTCTTAGAAATGGAAGAGAAGACAGACCTAAACCCAAGGTCCTGGGAAGGCAGAGGCAGGAACTAGCTATGCAGCCACAAGCTGAGGAACACTGAGATCTGACAGACAATGGAATAAGCAAGTGAGGGTTCTCCCTTAAGTCTCTGAGCTCCCATAGTCTTTGTAACACTTGGATTTCAGGCTTCCACATTTAGAAGCATTAGAGAATCAATTTTCCACTGTTTTGGGTTGGTTAATGTGTTGCAATTGTTACAGCAATCATACATTCTAATATGCCAACATTAGAAATACCATATTTACCATTATCTCAATAATTTCAGTTTTCAAAATTCAGGTGTTGCAAACCAAAAACATGTAACAGAAACACAAGCACCTACATGTTGGGTTTTCCTTTCACGGTGAGACCATTTGTTTTCTTTTTATTTACATTTATAGATGCATTTATCACCCCAATTGTTGGCAAATACTGAACAAGTAGAATTGGCACATGCATGATATCATATCATAAGAGAAAGAAACGAAGCAGACAGTAATAATCTGTGCTGAAGTGTTATAGAAGACAAGAAAGGATCTTTACAAAATGTCTCAGAATGTGACACACAAGGGGGATATGTAAAATGCAGCACCGATTTTTTTGTTTTGTTTTCAAGACATGGTTTCTCTGTGTAGCTTTGGAGTCTGTCCTGGAACTAGCTCTTGTAGACCAGGCTGGTCTTGAACTCACAGAGATCTGCCTGCCTCTGCCTTCCAAGTGCTGGGACTAAAGGCGTGCACCACCACCTCCCACCTTTGCAACCCAAATTTTAATTTATGCTCACTACAAACCTTCAAAAATCCTGCCTTCCAGGAACTGTGGGTATAATCAGTAGTAGAGTGTGTGATAGTTGATTGTGTGAGGCCCTATGTTTGATGTTCAGAATTGGAAAAAAAAATCACCTTCCAGGTAGCCATGGCATCTCCTTATGTGATTAGTTTTTCATTTATCTCATCACTGGTGGTTTTTCTTTTTGAAAAGCCCTTAGTCGTCCAGTGATTACAGAGATTTGTAAGGTAACCCACTTACCTGTCAAGGTGGGACATAACTGTTTTAGAGATGTCTGCACCTGCTTCTTGCAATATACGGATGATCTGAAACGGTGCAGCTGGGCTTCTTCCAGGATGGATGATGACAGGACAGCCAAGCTGAGCCTGGGCATGAGCTGTAGCCTGAAGCACCTTTCTCTCACTGTCAGTCAAAGGCCAGGAGCAGCCAATTTCTCCAATAACTCCACACTTGATACTGGTTCCATCAGCTCCACGGAGAATTTCACTAATAAGGACATCTGTAAGCTGAGGAAGAGTAAGAATGAGCCCATCTTATAGATTGTGAAATACATTCAAATAAACTCATACTATACAAAGGCACTTATTTAGGAACATACTCTTCTAAAACTGTACGCAGAGCCAGTGGACAGGGAGTAAAGAGCGTGCTTCACAATCATGAAGATCTGTGTTCCACCCCCAGAACTCACATAAAAATGTGGGGTGTGTGGTGCATTCTTGTGACCCCAGCACTGGGAAGATAGAGATAGATGGATCCCAGAGGCTCATTGGCCAGCTTCTCTAGCCCAATATCATCAATTAGTTCAAGACCAATGGAAACCCCATCTCAAATGAGAAGTACAGTTTTCCTAAGATGACATCCGAGGTTGTCCTCCAGCTTCCAAACACACGTCCCCTTCCTTGCACAAACATTAACTCCTTCCTTCCTTTTCTCTCTCTGCCTTCCTTCCTTCCTTCCTTCCTTCCTTCCTTTCTCCCCACAACCCCCACCCAACTCAACCCTCATTTAGTGAATATTGGCTAATGAACCACATATTTTTGGCTAATTTGCAAATTCAACAAGCTATTCTAAGTATCTTACTGAGACTATTTGATAAACTCATTGCTTAAAGATGCTGTAGGGACAAGGAGGAAGACAGTGTGTTCAGACTGAAAAAAGGGGTCTTTATTTTAATCTGGGTACAGAACCTATGAATGCCATTGAATCTGTCAACTTTATCAAGTAATTCTTTAATTCTCTCCTTCATTCGGCCTAGAAAATTCACAACACACATATCCACATTACTTAGTTTGACAAACATATAATCCTTATCATTATCTCAGTTTTCAGTTAATACTAGGTGCATTCATTTAAAGGTTTAAATACTAACTGATATTTCAACAAGAATTTACCTGACATGCTGTACCTGTGAAACAGGCTATGAGAAATATACAGGGATACATAATGTATGTAAACACATAGTAACTGACACGTGTTTAACAAGAGAATACACACATGTGCAACGGAGCCCTGCGAGCTTAGCTTCCTTCTGCCCATTCTTAATGTTATAGACAAGAGAAGAGACCTCCCCCACCCTCCCAGCGCGCAATGAGAGAAGAAGCTGTGTTTGCAAACGTACCAAGTCTCTGCCTGCCAGGTCTCACCCTACTGTGAATTTTCATTGCTGGTTATTATAAAACCCGAGGGGAAAGAGGAAGCCGCGCTGCTGAAGCTTTTGATGGGAAAGCAAGGTTTACCAACAGATTGAAGCGGAGCAACTGAGCTCTGATAGAGTTTGTACAAACTAAGCATTAACACATCGGAGCTGTCAATGATCAGTGCGTTGAGAGCTCCTTCCTCAACACTTGAAAGACACGCAATCTCACCAATTTGGGTTCTAGTCGGCAGGTGTCTTTGTGAGCTAGCAATTTTTTTTTGTCACACATCCAGTTACTTCTGAGACAATAGCATTTCCAAAGTTCAGACTGTCCTGAATGTATAAACGGGCAATGTCATAAGTAGTAAGTACTTTTTACCTGCTCCACTGACATGGCCCTGGTTGCTGCTGAGTGGGTTGCATCAACATAAAAGCCAGCTCCCGCTATGATGTGGACCCCAGTTTGCTCTGCTAGCCACTTGAGTGTTTGCACGTCCCTGCTGAGCCCAGTGGTGGTGTTTTCCACCATAGCACCTCCACCCTTAGCCTTGAAGTATAACAGTTCTTCCTTTATGGCTTCTGTCTCCTGATTCAACTGAAGGTTCTCCTGATGGGAATAAGGATTTTTCTGAATCCAGAATAGATTTTTCAGCATGATAGGTTCCTTGGAGGTAGCTTCATGGCATGGAGGAGGTGGGTAGTAAAAATTGTCAAAGGTCATTGTTAAATGCTCATGGGTCAAGGTGCGTCCCAGTTTGCTTGGTTCTACAAGACCCAAAACGGTTTGCACTTTCCCACTTAAGGAAGTCATTTCTGGAAGTGGCAAAAGGATTTTCCCTAAAGAAGAAATAGGAAAACAGAATTAGAACATTTAACACAAATATCCAATTTGTTCGTACAGGGCGGGGTTGTGAATGTGCCAGTCTGGAGAATCAATGAAACTAGAGATATAACCTCATTTGTCATCTGCCTCAAGGGGAATGCATAGATAAGATGTCCCTAGTCGCTTCCACCAGGTCTCCTCTGATGGATCAATTCCAAATTTATTTACTAAAAAAATTCTTGATATTCAGTTCACATTTATATTTCACCTATTTTTGTCCCAGTTATAACTTTGCTTCTTGGGTACTTCAACAAAAAAACATTCTCCTTCATAATCGATAACTTCCATTAAAACAAGTCATGTATTAACATTATCTCATCACTTTTCACTCAAATGAAATATACAGAGGCTTCTACTCATAGTGCTACCCAATTGTTACTTAAGTGAATGAACTGCTGTTGGAGACCTGTTATGGGTCAGAAGCATAACATGAAATCCTCAACCCTCACGACTTCACTGGGGATGACCCCAAAATAACTGGGGAGGAACAAATGCATAACTAGTTTTCTTAAGTGTCAAAAGTAAGAAGAAACAAACCATTTGATTTGCAAGAGTTTTTCATCTAGTGCACACAGAGAGTAACCCTTCAAAATACCTAGAAATAAATTGTCATTGTTATAATGAAAGTGACTACAATGCTATCTGTGATGGTTAGAAGTTAAATGTCAACTTGAACCAACTTAAAATCACTTGATAAGAGTGTCTCAGTGAGAAATTGTCTACACTGGGTTAGTCTGTGTGTGTCTGTAGGGAATTATCTTAGTTACATTAATTGGCATGAGAAGACTCAGCAGAGTGGCAACATTCATTCCCCGGCAAGGGATCCTGAACTATATCAGAGTGGTGAAATTGAGTTGAGCACAAGCAAGCAAGCAGTTGGGGTATGCGTTCATTTCTCTCTGCTCGTGACTGGCTGTGATGTGACCGGCTGTCTCAGCCCTGGCCTATGTGACTTCTCTGCAGTGATGGAATCACTGGAATCAGAGCCAGAAGAAACCTTTCCTCCCACAAGTTGTTTCGTATCAGGGTATTTTATCACAGCAACACACACAAAGCTAGAACACTACTGAAACAGAAATCAGCTGCTGTCTCTAAAAAGAGCAAAGACCACTTTGTTCCCTATGTAGTTCCCTTTCCGACACAGATAAAGTGCTCACCCATGTTTCTCTCAGTGAGATGACAGCAAGAACTACGATTTCAGCACTCCCATGATCAATGTACATCCCTAACAGAAGGGATTGGATGAAGAAGATGATGACCCCGTACCTGGTGAGCAGATACCCACAGCTGAGGGCAGGGCCACTGCAGCACTACCAGAAGTGAACTCCATCAAGAGGACCAGCCAGATATGCTCATAGGACTGGAAGAAACAGTCTGGGAACTGAGAACAGAGTAGCTTTTAAAGTTTTCAAAGTGTTCCTACAACAAATATTCTAAGATTATTTCCGCCATATCTTTGGAAGCCTTCTCTATGAGTGAAGGTGGTGCACAGGTTTGAGCCTATGCATGTGGAGGTCAGAGGTCAACTAAGGTTCATTCCTCTGAAGCCATCTACCATGTTTTTAGAGACAGGGTCCTCCTTGGCCTGGAGCTCACACAGAAGGCTAAATAGCCAGGAATCTATCTATGACTAAGCCTGGTTATAGCATTACTAATGCCTACTAAAATGACCAGCTATTTTAGGTGGGTTCTGGGATTGCACTTACTCATGCCTACAAAGAAAGCACTTTACCCACTGAAGCAACTCCTAGCCCCATCCTATTATTATCAGAGAGTCTGGTTTCTCACAAGTAAATTAGAGAGTCTACATTGCATAGGAATAAAATTGAATAGGAATTAAGTCAAACACGAAAGGAAACAATACATAAAACACTAGTACAAGTGGCACTTGGTCTGTAGTCAGCAAAGAGTATCATGATTTTGCACTTCAACTAGATTACTTCTTTCTGTAGAAGAAATGGTATGGATCTTGATGTAGGGGAGGGGCCAAGAGCTGGGAATAGTTGGGGAAGAGGAAACCATAATCAGAATATATTGTATGAACAAATGTATTTTCAATAAAAGAATAAAATGTAAAAAATGAAATGGGTACAGTACAGACTCAAAAAACAAAGTCAGAGGTAAGGGGGAAAAGTTTACAAACTATAGGTCAATTTTTATCCAGCCACTTTAATGACCTTGAACTTGGATGTTTGGGAAAATTTACTGACAGTCATAATTGACTGATTTATGCTTTTCACAGAGAACTTCAGGGTTGTAACTAGTGTGACCGATGAGTTTTGTCTGACAGTGCTTTAGGGCAAACCACACTTCCAACATTAGGCTGTACATATGGAGGCCATGAGGAACACATGGTATTTACTCAGCCAATCACGATTCATTTGCAAGTCCCCACATAGGTAATATTTTTCACTGATGATCTCACTGTTCAGGAGAGGTACATGAGAGGTGGCATGATTATAGACTGGAACTTACTGTTCAAAGCTTTATTCTTTGCTACTAAAAATAACAGTATGCAGTTACTTCTTTGGTTGATGAGATCACAGCACTATTAATAATAGATTCAATCCCCCACATGGGTTAATTTTTTTGTTTCCTTCCTTCTGGCTGATAGCATTACAGATGTGTTTGAGAGAGTCACAGAGGGGGAAGGAAATAGAATAAATTAGGATAAATTGATAAAACACCACCACATAGTAGAGAAGTACCAAACTGCGTACTTAATTGATGTGTATTTGAAAGAGCGACATGATATGCTTCAAGCTTACAAGCTGTGAGCCTTTGTTAAAAAAAATTGCTTAAGAAATGTCATCCCCTCTGGGAAATTCCTCTAATGCTCTCAAACAGAGCTGGCTGGTTCTTCTGTGATCACATTCAATGGCAAGCACACACAGAGGATAAGAAAAGATTAAGGAACAAAATGCAGGCAGCACTGCTTTAAACGAAAAGGCATCTTTGAGTGGAGCAGGACACGGACCAGGAATTCATGGTTCCAGTGTGGCTAAGGAGCCCGTTTCTGCCTATGTTCTGTCTGGAAGTCACTCCCAAGACACAGGCAGAGGGCTCTCATGATGCTTCATCATAAGGATGAGCATTTGTACAACCAGGAATGACAAGTAAAGGATGAGAGTTGCAGTGCCCATTTGTGCAGAGGGGAATGATCACTCACACAAAAGGAGGCTTCCAGTGTTTTCCGGAGCCTCCCACAGGAAGCTCCACATTATACACACCTGCATTGAAAAGGGACAGCTGGATCTATACACACATTTGACAAAAGCTTTGCTACGTATCAACTGTGAAATCTGAATAATGTACAAAAGGATAGTTTGCAAGTATTACAATAGCCCAGACAACACCAACAGCTCATGGTCGTTAGTACTGATCTTCAACTTGACCGGATCTGGAATCATGGAAGGGTCAAGCTTCTAGGCATGTGTCTGAAGGATTGCCTAGATCAGGTTAACTGAGGTGAGAAGCCCAAACCAAAATGTGGGCAGAAACATGGCCCGGCTGGGATACCACACAGCACAGAGGAGAGCTAGCTGAACAGTACCATTCATCTTTCCCCGTTCTTCCTGTCGGGGTGGTCTGACTAGACACAGCCCAAGTGCTTCTGCCTTGATGGATGGTATCACTCTAACCCCACATAAATCCTTCCTTCCTCAGATTGCTTTGTCTGAGCAACAAGACAAGAAACTAATACATAACCCTTCTAACCTTTCTTTTTTTTTTAATTTTGGAGACAGAGTTTCTCTGTGTAGCTTTGTAGACCAGACTGGCCTCGAACTCACAAAGATTCACCTGCCGCTGCCTCCTGAGTGCTCGGATTAAAGGCATGCACCACCACTACCCAACTCCCTTCTAACCTTTCTTAAAATCTGTTTTCGTTTTATGAGACCAGGTCTCACTCTGTAGCTTACGCTAGTTTGAACTCATGGTGATCCTCCTGTCTCAGACTCCTAAGTCCTGGAAATACAGGTGTGAACCACTATGTCTGCCAACCCCTCTAGTCTTGCTGGGCCTTGAATAAAAGAGAACCTTGACAAGAAAAGGAAAAGAAGATAGTAAGAGACTTGAACAACACTGCCATACCACAACCGGAACCAGAGATAGTGTGATTTGATTACTTACAAATACATGCATATACTATTTTTTATATGATATATAAAAATTTTGCTTCATGACGGAAGATCTGGTGGGGAAGAAGAAATCTGAATATAACTTCGGTTTCCATTCAGTTTCACTGGAATTTTGAGGGGTTTTTTTTTTGGTTTGGCCATTATGTTTAAGTGTATTCTGTCTACCTAAGTTGAATATCATTTTCAGTTATGGTCATGGTTAATTTATCAAGTTAATCTGGCTTTGATGCACCAAGGACATTGGTAAATCACACACCTGGCTGCATCAGTGAAGATGTTTCAGAGACAATTAGATCATAAAGGCACTGACTCAGTGAACAGATGAAGCCCGAAGGATTCATAAATGGTGATGTTTGGGGGAGTTGGTAGGGGTGGGGCTAACATGGAAGAAGCAGGCTACTGGCTACATGTTCTTAGAGGTCATAGCTTCTTCTGTCCGCCTTCCCGGCTCGCTCTTTCTCTCTGCTTTCTGGCCACAAAAGATGAGCAGCCTCGTCTAGCATATTTTCCCTCAGCCACGATGGTCAGCACTACCAAATCAGGGCTCCCAGGGACTATGTCGATTGAACTCTCTGAAACAATGCGTCAAAAGAAATGTTTTCTTTCCCTGTCTGGTGACTCATGTCATATTTTGCCACATTGGTGAGAAAAGTAACTGGCACCATTGCCGTTTCAGAGGAGAGAGGACGTCTAGAAGTCTGGATACTTTGTACGGGCAAGTGGGAACTCTTAAACACACAACCTCTGCATGCTGTAGACATCATACTTTGTCCTGTTTCTATACCAGCGTGGTAGCCCTAGAGCTGACTGAAGCG